CAACGACGGGGCTGTAAATGACGCAGCTTGAGGGCTCACCGACCGAGCTGCCCTCTCAAGTCGCGCCCCAACATCCTCCGGTAATAACGGTGCGGCAGATCATTGGGAGTGGGAAGACAGAATGACCAGATACAATGAATGACATTACAAAACATTATAGATTACAGAGGGGCATACTCCCGCCACCTCCCCCAAAATTAACAAAAAGTCAGTCTGTCGAATGGCGGCAGTTACAAACTAAAAACGTATCCGAATCATGCTCTCTCACACATTACATATCCCGATATATACAAAACGGACATGTGCAAGTGTTGTGACTCCCGAGCCACTTTGGAGCATATGTTATTGGAATGCTGAAAGATTAGTGCCCATAACGAGTATGCAGCCTCTGGTGGCAGCCTTCACGCGCGCTGGGAAGCCACAATGCTCAGCCCCGTCTTCGAAGATCAGATGTGGGCCGTCCAGCAGGCCGAGGAAGCCGCCAGTACTTAAGGACTCCTGGTCGTAACCTAGGTGGACCAATTGGCCCACCTCACCAACTCACCGAATTCTGAACAAAGCTCTGTGCCCCTCCCCCTCAAGCAAGTGCTTAATTCTTAGTTGTACATCAATTTTCTTAAAAGTTTACAGTTAGCTATACCATCACCGTAACATGACGACTTTAAGTCTGCCCGCTTCAAGTCGAGGAAAGTATAATCATTCAAAGGCATTTGCTTATTCTTTATAGAGGGTTCATATCGAAGGCCGCAGAAGCATTGAGTCGTTCGGAAGTGACTAAATCTGTACTTAATCTTACTACCGCGCGGAAGCTCAGACTGCAACGTCCGGTTAGCTTAAGAGGCGTTCTGCCATCTAAATGGTTTGATTGGACACTTTTCCTGCTGTGCAAGTCCGATCATTAGTGGTATCTTGCTTATATAGTGACTGAAACGCTTAAGTGAAGCATAAACACAATAAAATGCCTAATTTGTTACACGTAATAATATAGATTAACGGGTGGTATGTTTGCCGCAGCGCTGGTACTTTTGCTGAACACTTATAGATGCGAACACCGATCTTAAAAAAAAAGCTGTTCAAGAATTTTGTATCTTATGAGCAACAGGCCGAAATCTCACGTCCAAAAACAATCAGAATGCCCTATCACACTCGCAAACTCAAACTCGACTGAATACCCTCTCTTTTTTAAGGGCCAAACCTCATAAGCGCGAAAATGCACGCAACAGCGACGAGCGACGTGACGTAGATCGTCTTCGCGCGATCAGTCGCTTGCGCAGGCAACCCTCATTCACGCGACGGCTTCGGCGAGCGAACTCCACTGTTGCTGGCATGAGGCTGTCTACTCGCACCAAGAAAACCACGTAGCGAGCGGTATGCAATTTAAAAATAAGATATATTGTTGTGTAATGGAACGGAAAGTGTTTATGAATGCCTTGCAGCACTTTTTTATGTGCACATGCGTAAACATTGCGTTATTTCTTGTTGCACATACGTGACTAGGGCAGGGTCACGTGCACCTATTTAGTCTTTGTCTTTTCCGGTTTTTCGCTATTGGCTGCTTGAGCTTAGCACTTGCGGGCGATGAGCGACGGTTTCCAAATCTGGAGAACCGAGCGATTGCGCGAAAACGAGCAAGGTACACGTCGCGCGAACGCCCTGTTTCGTCGCTCATAGCATCGCTCGTCGCGGTCACGTGCCTTTTCGCGCTTATGAGGTTTGCTCTTAAATGAAACGCATTTCTTGGCGAACTTCGGCAACTTTGAGCGTATCTATCTATCCTTCCTATCTATCTATCTATCTATCTATCTATCTATCTATCTATCTATCTATCTATCTATCTATCTATCATCTATCTATCTATCTATCTATCTATCTATCTATCTATCTATCTATCTATCTATCTATCTATCTATCTATCTATCTATCTATCTATCTATCTATCTAGCGGCCTATTACTTATAGCTGTTTAGATAATGGCCGGCCTTAATGAACGGTTGTTGCTAGGATGCCCTTCCCGTGTGTGTTTTCGTTTTTTTTTATGAGTGCGCGTGCGTTTTTTTTTCTCTCTCTCTACCCCCTCTTTCTTGCCCTACTTCCCCGCCCCCAGCGCTGGGTAGCAAACCAGATGTCAATATCTGGTTAACCTCCCGGCCTTTCCTTTCTAACTCTCTCTCTCTCTCTTGGATAATGGTATCGATACCAAACTTGGTATGGCATAACATGACTGTATGATGAGGATATTTGACTACTAATAACATGGAAGGCATGACAAGTATGCCATGAATGTCATGATTTACAATTCATGGTCTTGCTGCTCTTGCGGTAGTTTCGTTCACATGACATGTTGCAAAACTGGTATGGTATTGCATGGCGAACACAAGCGACACATCCTAACATGAAAATAATGAAATGCGTGTCATGTAACAGTATGAATACATGCCACGCTCATGATGCGTTCGCGGCCATTTCGTTAGGGTCACATTTGCACCAGTCTCATACGAAGGTATGAGACTGGTGCAAATATGTTTAATATGAAACATGTGTCACGTAACAACATGAGTACATGCCACATTCATGATGCGCTCGTGGCCATTTCGTTTGCGTCACATATATGAAATTTGGTATTACGGTACGTGAACGGACGACATAGGTAAATGACACATCCAAGCATAATAATCACGACATGCGCGCATGTAACAACATGACTACATGACGCACTGATGGTGCGATCGCGGCCGTTTCGCTAGCTTCACATATGCCAAATTTTGTATTACGTGACGTCAATAGATGACGAAGGTATGTGACTCATGCAAACATAATCATGAGATTAGCATCATGTGACAACATGACTACATGCCACAGTCAAAGCGCCAATACAATTCGACGTGACACGGCATGCATGCGTACTGGCGTTCGTTTCGTCGCGTCACGCTGGCGTTGCCATGGCAGTCGCCGGTCCTGCCATACTCGCAGGCGCGCACTGCGCTGCGTTGCTTTGACGCATGCGCGTTTCAGCGCGTCCGGCGTCGCTGCGTCATTAAAAGAGGCAGACGCAGTGCTGTTTGGGTAACACAGTGGGTGTTAAATGCAGCATGTCGCATTTCGCGCCAGTTGGCATCGGGCCGCGCCGACGAACGCTGGTCACGCCGGTCGCGCCTGGCATCAGACGCTAAGAGTTCTCACGTTTTGCTAACGTATAGCGCCGCAGTGCCCAGCGTGCGCACGCGTCAACGTTACGTCGGATTATATTGGGCCCTAGATGATGCACTGATGGGCGTTTCACTAGCTCCACATGCACGAAATTTGGTGTTACGAGACGTCTACGAATGACGAAGGTATATGACTGGTGAAAACATGATAATAATAATACGCGTGTCATGTAAGAACACGACAACATACCACGTTCATGGAGTGCTCGCGGCCGTTTCGTTAGGTTGACATGTGCTAAATTTGGCAAAACGTGACGTGAATAGATGACGAAGGTAAACGACACATCCAAACATTATAATCATGAGACGGAAGTCGTGTACGGCATAATTTACCTCCACCTGGTAACGTTGCGGTGATTTTAAAGGGGCATATCATACTTCCTCATTCGTGCTTCGCATATCATCGATTCCCTCTGTACGTGGGGTCTGCCAATTTTTTAAGCTGGTTTCACTGGGCTGTGTATAACAAAGAAAACGACGTCTTGATTAACTCTTTCTTGTTCGTTCCATGTTTTTAGAAGAATTTATGACGACAGATATTTCTTACGGGAGCGGCGGCACTCGGTCTCCTAAAAGGAGGCTACACCGTTGAAATCCGGTCAAAACATGTGGGTGCAACACAAACGCTGTTAAAGTGGGAAGAGAGTGTTCAACTCAAGTACGTCGCGAAAAATCACCGTTAAGACTGAAAACGAATTCGAGTGGGAATACATTGCGTAAAACTTCACTGCTGTGCATCGCACGAAAGACTCAACACAGAGTATTGAAGCCCCACGCTGAGTGTCAAATGTCACCTCAGAGCCAAGGGTCGGCTGAAGGCCTTGGGCAGCACACAAAGGCAGAGCAAGAAAATGCACCTTTACTGCTGGGACTCCGAACTCGATTGCAGCCGCTGCCCGCTGCCAGCGGTCGCTAATCGCGTGAAGCGAGCGCACACGTTGCCATCGTTCTCTTCTACCACAATCCTAGCACTCACGGCCAGAGAACGCTGCCATTGTTCTTTAAAGGCCCTTCACCCTGAACCGTAATTTTAGGAACGCTTATCTTGAACCTCACGATTGAAGTATGCGCCCTAGGGTAATTAACATAGAAGCTTGGCATAGCGAAACCTTCTAATAATTTAGCTCAGTTTTGTGTTCGGGTGGTTTCCGAATTGCACTGTAACACGCGTTGCGCTTTGGACGTGTCCCATGCATGCAGTTTTTAACGTTTCTTTTATTTGGGAAATACAGCGTGTACTCAAAGCTTATCGACGAAATCACAGTGCCCCTGCTAAGACGGGGGGTCGAAAGGGGAGTAGCTATTTTATTGTGTTCTCTTTCTATGTACTCCGTGGCGATTGCTATGTAGTTTGAATGCATCGTTGTTTCTAGCCAATGGATCACTCGTTTTGGACGTGGAACGTATTGCTTAAAGCACACTAAAGAGAAAAACGTTTTTTCGCGTGTCTGTAAAGCACAATTTCGTAATCCCGAAAACACTATTCTCATCGCGAGACTACAGCGCTTATGGGAAGCAAGAATACGCACGAAAAAGAAAATATGGCTGGTGACGCCATCTTGAGAGTCCCGCACGAAACTCAGTGACGTCATAGATTTGAAGACGTCTACTGGGCCCCACGTAGCTTTTAACCAATATTTAAAAGTGAAACTTTATCTTTGATTTTTCTGCTAATAATGAACTTATGATTGTAAAACTTACGCCATGAGATTTCTCGGGATCTAGTTTAAAAATTTTAATCAAGTCATTGTTTCTCTTTTGTGTCTCTATAAGTACGGGAATAATGTTACTCACCTATGCAGTTCTTAGGACCAGCAGAGAACGGGAGATAGCTGTATGGATGCCGCCGACTGTTCTCTTCAGACATGAACCTTTCGGGTATGTACTCCTCTGGTTTGTCAAACTGGTCGGGATTTCTGTGAAGGCTGAAGATGTTGAGGAAACACGATAGACCCTGGGGCAAAGTGTGGCCATCTGCGAGAAGGGAAATAAAACGGAGAGGTGGTTTGGGGCGTTTCTCACTTAACTTGTTCACATCGACACAGCGTCTTTCTGTATAGTAATGTCAAAAGTACAACGTTTTAAATATTTTGTCCGGACTCTTCTTCGACATGCAAGGGGTATTTCTGGGGCAGTTTTGCTATATAGTGGGTTGAGACGTATGTCTAAGATGTTAGAAAGTGTGGCTATTTGATTACTTCTGTTCGAGAGCCAGTGTGGAAACACTTCAAATCAGGAACAAGAGTAGACTTCCTAGTGCATTCGTTAATACCTCACGGTACCTACTTTTTCTGCATCAAGGATTAGCGCATTTATGCGGAGAATTCAGGGGCTTCATAACCGCTGTTCAAGTGGGGGCTTGAAATTTCGAAATCTCAAAACGCTCTTGCTGTCTTGTCTAAAGCAAACATGCATGTAGTCAGATTGCACACTGATTAACAGCGCGCTAGGCCCAAACAACAGGAAATAAAAAAATGGCCCTGTTGTTGCGTGATTTTACGACGATATGCTAGTTGAAAGCAAAAAATATGTATTTTCAAAGCCTCACTGAATATATTCCTGTTTAAGAATTGGATGAAGGAGGCGTTTAAGAAATGTGGAGTCATTCATTACGCAGTAATATTGGCCGATTCTTGGTCTCGATTAAAGCAAATGGTTTCTTTTTGCCGCTATGATGCAGTTGGCATACACATTTGGACTATAGTAGACAACCCAACGTCACAAGGATAATTAGAGGTGGATGTTGAAGAATGATGGTTCGTGGGTCTCAGGCGCCCCGAACTGGGTCTCACTCGGTCGCCGCGAGTGAGCACATCACGTAAAGCGAGTCGACGACCCTTGAACCTGTTGAAAAATCCATATATATGTCGAGAAGGTAAGCTGCGTTGACGAAATTGATTGCTTCACGTCGAAGCGCCACGATGTGCGCATCGTACTCGGCAGTCACTCATCTGCAATACGCGTACAAAAGTACTGCGGATAGATAAAAACTAACACGAGGTCCAGTCACCGCTGCTGACTTCGACTACATTTGTTCTAGGCGCAGGTATTGGATCCAGAACAGTGATTTACCTGCTTGCCTTATGACAAAGAAATGTTCTATACCTAAAAAGAACTTCAAGTTTTGTTCGTAAAAAATTTTTGCACCAATTTCAGAATTTATAAACATTGAGCGCACCTATAAAAAAAAGAGCACTTCCTGATTGAAGTACGTCGTCTCATGAAAGAACAAGTGACATGCAGTCCTATGAGTGCTTTATTTCCCTTTGCTGTCGAAGGACTTTTGAAGGTAAAAGATCGCAAACCTAATAAACGTACTGAATGCCTGCATTTCAGGAATTTATTGCTACCTAGACGTTCCCCGGAGGAAAGCAAAATGCCATAGATATTTACTTTGTTATCTCAGTGTTCTTTTCAAGAAACCGACAACCGATATTTTTCAACCCAGTTTTTTCTGGGGTGACTGAGAGCTTACCTTTTGCAGTGTTCGCAGCTGCAGTAGTTACTCCCAAAAGCACGTAATTATTTTTAAAGCAGTATTTTTCGATTTGAAAGGCTCTGAACACCGATGTGTGTTTTTGTCCAGCAACGCTGAGAATTGATACCGATGCTGGTAGCCCTTCTAGTGATTTGTGCACGTTGTGAATGGTGTGCTTTTGCAGGAGTTCCTGTAACTATGCTTAGCCACGTTTACTGTGAGCTTTAGAGCTGTTTTTGAAAATAAGCCATTACAATGTGATGATGTGGCTTTATACAGCTTCACTATAGTTGTACCGTGTTGCGAGCGCCTGCGCCCAAGGTTGATGCGCCTGTGTCGTGGATGGCTTCTCCCATCGTCGCTACCCTCTCGACGTACGAGCCAGGTCAAGTCACTGAAAACGTCACTGCGCGTCATTTCTAAGACAAAATGTATAGGTAAAAAAACAAAAAAAACACGTCGTTAAAAAATCTTAGCGACCTGGGAAGTTCATGCATGGTTTCATGAGCACGTCGAAAAGTTCCTGAAGACGCACTGATGGGCACGTCATCATTCCGTCAGGCGAAAACAGTGCCACTTTATTGCGCACTACTAACGAATGCCTATAAGCATATTTATTGGAGTAATATGTTATGCTATAAAGAAGCAAAGAATATTTCAATACTAACAAGAAAACTGTTCGCTGCGCACACTAGTTCACGGTCACGTGTCAGTGCAGCTCGAAAAATTGAAGTTTTTGTCACCAGGTGGCGACGCAAGCTATTTTAGCGATTTTAATTGACCAAATGAAATTATAACTCAACTTCTCACGATGAAAATAAGGTTGGTTTGAGTCACTATAATGAGTATTCTTTCTGGTCGTGCAGTGATCTCATTTCATGTTCTGGGCTGTTTCAGGCCCTCTAAAATAATTTTTGTGGTTCTTGCGTTCATCTTTGAGCTTCAAAACTGTGCTGAAACGAATCTCATTTTACCTAAAATACTTAACGTAAAGGATAGTTTTCTAAGAAAAGCAGTTTGTATTGAAAAAAAAATCTTTGTGACTGAAACCAAGGATATTGTTTACCATTTTGCGCAAAAGAAAAAAAGTTACATATTTTCAGTTGTTAACGAGTCGAGATGCAGCAAATGTGACAAATGCAGCCTACACCCCTCTGTATTTGGCGTATAGCCGGATGTTTTTTTTTTTTTTTGAGATGGTGCCAAACTGGAACACTAAATAACGTTAGAGCAATAAACTATGCATTGAGATTCATAGTGTCATTTATTTTAATATTAATGATTCACTATTTCAAGAGAGCATCTTTACAATTTTTCAACCTCAGACTTCTAATACCAGTGGTGTGTCACTGATTTCAGGCTTTTATTTTCGCATTCACGCTACATTGGTTCAAAAAAATCTGACACTCTTCACGTTAGGCATCTGACTCATTGAAAACCCAATAAAACGTTTTTGTTCGTAAAAAGTATGCACGGCTTGTAGATGCCATGAAAATCTATAATGTAGCGATCAACTGTTCCGGAAACTTAAAAAGGCAACAACTGTGTTTATTTTTTTGCCACGTCTTCTCACTCATGCAGAAATGTGTTCAGACGCAAATAGTGGTGTTATGTATACTGCAAAAGTGACTGCCTGTCGTAAGAGAACTTATTTTCTCTTCATAGCACCTCCAAAACATGACAGCACGTGCCGATTCAGCAGGAAGGGTAAGAACTTACCACTCGATCATAGAGCCGCCGGCTGTGGAGAAATCGTGTGGTGAATAATGTACGGACGTTCGCACTGAACTAGCAGAAGGTGCAACGTTTGGACGATACTAATTTATAAATATATAGTTAAGCATGTTTGATGGGAATGCACTCATGTGTAGGATGGAAGTACAGTCTCCAAGAAAACCATGGAGCGTGGCGCACAGCAGTGTTTACCAGCTTATATAATCAAGATCAAATATGAGCAATTCAGAGAGCATGAGAGGCAGCTGGGAGATTGGCATCTCAACCACCACGAGCGCTGCTTCGGCAACAGCCTCAATCCACTTGTTTCAATAAAGTATTTTTTCACTCACACATATAATTTAAATCAGCACTGTGTTGCGCTAAAGAAGGCATTCTTTTTTTTATGTGTCAATTTCGCTCTATTATTTCCTATATAAGCCACATAATAGTTCTTTCATTCCGCAGGTGGCACCACGCTAAAGATTAAAAAAATTGGGAGACTCTTGAGTCTCGCCTTTATGGGTTGAACGCAATAACGATAGCCTGTTCCTAGTTGCGTACTACGAATATTTCGTGCATGCAATATTTTCAAACTTGCTGTGTGCCCACTGCGTGGCCTTAAGGGAATAGGCGCAGTAACGTGTGTGCCTTTTGTAGTGGGTTAGCGGCTTTCAGCCATGAAGTAATGAGGATAATGACGTGTTCTAACACCCGATGGCAATGTGCGCTTGTATACCCCGCATTTCTACTGCAATATTCCATGTTGTAAATTCAAGCGTGCATACAGGACGCATGTCTTTGCAAAGCATAACCGTTACTTTAACTGCATTTCTAAGCAGAGGAAGTGACTTCCACTGTATTCATAGGAAGATGCTTGACCGTGTAATAGAACACCCAATTTCTACGCAAACTAACCGGGTTCAATTCTTACTCAAGTCTAGTATTTCTTATTATTCATGTAATTTACTTCTTTCTCGATTTTTCGGTCATGCCCAAGATGATGATCTTTTGCTCAGAACCAACGACACCGACGCCAGAATCGCTGCGAAATAAGCTCTTTAATGCTATCGTGTTAAAATTTAGCTGGATAAGATCACTAATGCGTTGAATGTGCCCTCGAAGTTAAGGCTTCTTCTCACGTATTGTCATGGCATCGTGACGTATACAAAGACAGAAGTCGGCGCGTCCAGACATTAAGCTTTATTTAGCTGAACTCAAACTACAGCAGCACACATTGTACAATGATAGTGGTGAACAAAGCATCGACCATCAATAAAACTGATCATCATTATAATGCGGCGTGTTTTATACATCACGCACCAAACTTTCCAGCCTTATGACGGCTGGTCGCGCAGGCTCTACGGCTTGACTGATCACATCTTCCAAGTGATCTTGGCAAAACGTTCTACTACAATCGTGAAACCTCTCGAACACCATGGCATAGTCTACGCCATGCATTGCTGGCAGTTTTTGTAGGTGCGAACCGAATACAGCAAAATTGAAACAAGAAATGCGCGTGGAAATAACATTTCGACAATGAAAGGTAAGGCAGCGTTGTTTGGCATATCAATTCTTCTATACTCCAGACCCAAGGAGAGCATCACTCTTATCTCTCGTGTAACAAGAGCGAGCCGTACATTCTGAGCCACACATATATGATGTCCTTGTCGTAATAATCTCTGTGCAGTCCCACCAAGAGTCTCTAGATATTCGAACATCGCAACAAGGACAATCATATCGTTCGTCGCAAAAGACGCTCACACAAGACGAAACGCAGAAAAAAAAACAACAAAATATTTCAACGGCAAGGGCTAGTGCAAAGGCTCTTTCCAAGACTTCGCGTAGGCAAACTCTTATTTTATTTACGGAACCACAAAGTTTCCTGTTTTCAGTATATATTCGTACCTAGCAGACTCGGTAAACTTTCGCGCTTACCGGTGCGTCGTTAAAAATGTAGGAAATATTGTTAAAAACGTCGTCATATGACTTGAATATGTGGGGTACACTAAACTAAAGAGTATAATTATTACTTACCAATGACTAAGTCTTCATCGATGACTTTTCCAATGAAAGGGAATGGCGGGCACAAGCGCAGCGTCTCCTGCGATCCACAAAAATCAGTATTACGAACTTTCCGTAGCCCCCGACGGTAGGTGTGCAGTAGCACTTCTATTTATGAACCCGTTGCCGTGCACGTTTCTCCGGCAAGCTTCTAATTTTTCAGAAGGGTACGTTTCCGTAAAAGGAGCCATGCTAATCTGCTGATCACACTGCCATAAAGTGTAATTTTTCATTCAACAAATTAGCGACTGAACGTTGCAAACAATTATGTAAGCGAAGATGGTAGAGCATTTCCGAAGGCCTCATGTTAAAGGTATTGCAGCATTGAAACATTGACTTTCATTATTTAGTATATTTTTTGCAAAGCATATGCAGCTTCATAAAATAAGTGATTGTGCCCCGTGACACCACGTCGGAAGCAACAATTCAGCAAGTCGGTTGTCTATCAAGTATACTATCTCCTCAAACCTTGTGCTTCAGTTTCGTGTCTTTGAGGATATTGCCCCTGATTCCCGAGCACAGAAAGAAATATTACGTTAGGGCACATCATCTCCAATCAAACTAACCTTACTACGAACATCTCTAATTAAGGCTCGCCGTGAATTTTAAGCCATTGGCAAATGGAAGTTTTCCACTTGGTGTTATACGTTGGCGTATGAGCGTCTATACCAGTAGTTTTCAAATGGGGTTCCGTGGTGCCTGGCGGTTCCGCGACACCACCGACCACGACAAGAAAACATTTTTCTAGGTGAGTTTTGTACCTACTCCCAGTTTCTTCTTCTCTTGCTGCCGCAAGTACATACAGTAACAAGTCATGATTCAAACATTACTTCAAACAGTCCACGAGGCGCCTTCACTTGTCCGCTTCTCAGAACCGTTGTTCTATAAGCATTTACTACAGTCGCGTGAACTACGTGAACTATGTGAAGAAGCGGCTGATTGCAACATGCCACATGCTCAAATTCCTTGCAGGAAAAAATTGGGGAGTGCCCATATCATCCATGCTACAACTGTACAGAGTGCTGTTTATCGGATTCTTACGGTACAGCTTACCTGCAATGTCTAACACCGGCAAGACCAACCTGCGCGCAATTCAGAGCATTCAAGCACAAGCACTTAAGATATGCCTTGGAATACCCCGCAGTGCTTCAACGGCTGAAACTATTGCCATCGCTCAAGATCACTCGATAAATACGCATATTATTACCGAGACAATGCGCATGCACCTCAGGCATTATGCCAGGACCCCTTCTCACCACCTGGCGAGCCTAGCTGCTGAAAGGCCCCGCACGACATACGGCACTATTGTCTCCAAGCATCGTTCATCGTTTGCTGAGACATACGCACCTGCATCAAAGCCACTGCATCCTCCTTGGAGCTTGAGCCGGCCGCGAGTTCACTTAATGATTCCAGGAATGAGGAGAAAATCGGACTTACCGACACATGCCCTAAAACAACTGAGTCTATCCCTACTGGAAGAAAACTACAGTAACCACGTGCACATTTACACGGATGGCTCTACTACGCCGTCTAGTTCAGGTGGAGCAGTGGTTATACCATCACAAGGGATAACTCGGTGTTTTAAGACTTCACATGTGACAAGTTCGACGACGGCAGAACTCGAGGCTCTGCGCTATGCACTGGAACACATCAATTCAGAAGAAAGACCAGGTAAATGGGCTGTGTTTTCTGACTCAAAACCAGCGTTACAGTGCCTGATATCAGTTCTCCGACGCGGATGCCACGACCAGTTGACCTACCAAACCGTGAAACTTCACCACCTGTTAATACAAAAAGGCCATGACATCGTCTTTCAGTGGTTACCTGGGCATAGTGATATAGGCGGCAATGATTCTGCAGATCATGCTGCTCGCACGTCACATAAAGAAGCGAACAGCGTTCCGATACCGCTTTCAAGAGCGGATGCGGCGAGGCAGATTCGTCAACTGGCCCGCAGTCTCACACTGACTGAGTGGAACACACCAAGCATACGACGTACACGACTGCACGAGCTCGACCCTTCACTACAACTCCGACCTCCACCCGGCCTACATCGACGTGAAGCTTCGCTTCTCTATCGCCTTTGGCTGGGAGTTGCTTTCACGAAAGCATATACCACGTTAATCAGAATTACTGACAGTGCGGCGTGCGATGTTTGCGGCACCGACGAAAACATCGAACACCTGCTGTGTCATTGTCCTCGATTTGCCTCAGAGAGACAAGTACTTGCCAACGCAATGCGGCGACTGGATGATCGGCCTCTTTCTGTGCAGGTGCTATTACAGCAACGTACACATGCCTCGACAGCCCACAAGGCAGTGAAAGCCCTGCTGCGTTTCCTGAGAAAGACAGGCTTGTGTGAACGCCTCTGACATGCGGTAGAGTTCTACACGCTGCAGTGAAATTACTGTCAGTCTCTCCCCCACCCCCTTTTTTTCCCTCTCTTCCCTCTTTCTCGTCTTTCTTGTCCCCTTCCTTTATCCCCCAGTGTAGGGTAGCCAACCGGATGTCTTTCTGGTTAACCTCCCTGCCTTCTCCCTTTTTGTTGCTTCCTCCCTACTACAGTCGCATCACCTAAAGAGATTGATATTGCGTATATAGTGGTGAAGCAAGACAAGGAAAGTGCATGTCCCCATAACCACGCTCATAGAAAGGCAGATAGTGCGTTGTAGTTCTTGTTCTGGGGGAGCGAAACGGCAGTCGCTAACCTTTATGCAGCACTCCATGTATTCCAGGCGCTTCAGGTCATCCAACGTGTAGAACCTGTCCGGGTCATGACCCAGGACATTTTCCAGCTCCTGCTGGACCTTGCGCTGTTTCTCTGGGTGCAGACCGAGGAGATACAAACTCCAGCTGATTGCGCACGAACTGGAGTCGCTACCCTGAATGTATGAAAGCACTGGTGAGTTGCAGGCCGAAAACAAACAACTAATAATACTCTTACTAATAATAAAAACATTATTACCAATAATAGTATATAATATTATAATATGAATAATAAAAGAAATGACTGCTGCTGTGTCGATTAAATGTCTATGCAAACTCTTAGAATATTCATGGTCAAACGTTCGCACGTATAAAGGCTACGTAGGCGTTTCAAGCTGTCACAGAACGAGCACTAAAAAAGGGCGCGCCGCCAAATTCTTGCGACAACGGGCGAGAGAAACGCCGCGAGGTCAAAAAAAAAAAAAGAAAGCAAACGTCCGAGGCTCCCCGGGCGCGCGCTCTCCCGCGGAAGCGTGGCGTCGCAGACGAACCTCCTCACCCCACATCGGCGGCCGAGATAGCCCGCGATGTTTCTAGAACGAAGGAGGCGGGGCCACGCCGAGTTGACTCATCCGACGCGGAGGGCAGTCGAACCGTCTCGCGGCTCTCCCCAGCCTTCGCTGCGCATCGCGCCGACGAAATGAGGAGAACTTTCTGGAAGGTGGCGCGGAACGTATTTAATCGAGCAGCCGAGACGAGAGATCAGGAGGAGACGGAAGTTAACGCCAGAGCGCGTAGGGATTCCGCCGTGTAGTCGGCGAAGGTTTTGGTCCGTAGGGACGAAGCCGGAGATGAAGAGGATTTCCACCTGAGGGGTGAAGGCTCGGGCTATAGGCAAGAGCGTGTGTTTACCGCTATTGAGCGAGGACGCGTGGCAACAGCTGCGGGTGTGAAGCCGACGTGTTCCGGCGAAGAAGTTGAAGTTGGAAGAGTGGCCAATTGAAGACGGGAGGTTTCCTGGAAGAGAAACTTCGAGGGCTGCGGAACGACAACAACGCTGAACTTTGAGTGAGTGATTCTCGGAAGAGCATCATCTAGACTTTGGTTCCAAGAACTTTGGACTGAATAGGTTTTCTATCTCTTTAGTCTTTAAGTGTCTTGGTTGTTCAATGCATGCGACTGCATTGTAGTGCGTATTGTTGTCCGTGTCCGTTGTTTCAAGTGTGGCTGATTGTATTGTGTAGTACGTTGATTGATTGGTTTGATTGGGGACATATTGTATGCAACTATTGTGGAGTGTGTTTTTTTTGTGTATTGTTTTCGATCTGCCAATTTTGAGAATATAATTTGTTTGTTTATCAACTCTCGGCTCTGACTTGTTCTTTGGGCCACAGCCGGCGTCCGCTGGCGCGCCAAAAAGGACCACTTCTAAATTGTCCACGCTTTCGTGGTGCGGTTCGGGGGGCCGATACTTCGGCCCTTGGAATTAGCCCGGCGATCGCCTCCCTAATTAACGGGACCGGTGTGACACAAGCACACAGGAACACAAGGACGATCATCAACATCACATTGATAGCTCAACAGCTGCTGGAGGGTCAGCAGGAGATGTGATGCCTTTCAAAAGCAGAAAATATTCAGCTGTAACGCTCTCACAACACAACGTCAGCACCCGCTTGACAAGCGGCCCCTCGCAGCACACTTTGCAGGAGTCAACGAGAACCACCTTTAAAATAAAACACATTCAGAGATTCTGGTCAGTCCCGCAGTGCCTCTTATAAGCTCCATGTTAAGTTCAACAAGGCTCTTAAGAACAGGAAGTAGGAAACTTGAACAAAGTAAGATACACCGATCATGCTGCAACTGGTTATGCTGTAGCCCATTGAACTGTAAAGAAATGACGCAGCGCAAAGATTGTTATGACAGCTCATTATACCGCCCAAGATATCTGGAACACGCACGGGTTACTGCATACAGGCCCCCACCACCTGCGCAACTCGCTGCGACATTAAGTCCAATCTGGACTATCCCGATCCGTGACAACCGCTCAGTCTCACCTGTGACTTGCAGTGTCATTTAGGAATGCATCGAGTTTGACCACTGTGGCAGCGAACAAATGATCGCACACATTCACTGTGTCCCCACTAGAGCCCTCAGAAACCGTCCCTCTCAGCAGTGTTAGCATGCGTCGACCATCAAAACACGTGGGCACGTCAGGTCACACAGCCTTAGCCCCAGCACAAAACCTTACAGCGGAGGGATCTGGCCATCGAGAACCTGGAAGATCAGCTGAGTGTGACTGACCAAGCCCAAACAGTAGCTGCTGCAAGCGGAGCGCTAAGCCGAGCCTCCCTCCACCTTCGCAAGCCAAGACTATGCGGGGCTTTAATGCAGGGAGCGCCCTACCTGAAGCTGCACGAGGAGCTCCAAAGAAATTATTGTTCGAATAACAACACATACGAGCTATACCGCGAACCGCTTTGACAAACATCTTTGTGTCTCAGTGAGTGACTTTGTGTGTGTGTGTGTGTGTGTGTGTGTCAGTGTGCGTGCGCGTCTGCGTGTGCGTGTGTATGTGTGTGTGCGTGTCACCCACTCTTCTCATTCTTTGCTTCCGCATTTGTGTGTATTCCTTCATTCATTCTGCTGTGCAGGGTAGCATAACGATGATTTATCTTCCGGCTAACCTTCTAGGCTCTGGCGGAACAGGGTGTGTCTCCCGCGACACACACAAAAAAAATTTTTGATGCAATCTAATGGTTCTGTTATAGGTAGGACGACATCCTCAGAAATGTTATGTAATAGAAGTAGGGGATTACGTACAACCGAGTATGTACAAGTTGACACATCGGTGACATTTCACATGAGGGCTTCGACAACAAACCCGTGTCGTTGTACCCGATATTTCAGATGGCCGTTCTCCACGAAGTGCCTTGCGCGGCGTAGCTTGCGCGTTTGTGCATATTGTTGCGAAACGACGGACCGATCCCGCCGAAGCCACCACTGTTGCGAAAGACGGCGACGCCAACACGGTGCCGAAGGCGCCACTGCTTCCGACTCCGCCGGGAAGGTCACCAGCCGTTTGGTAGCGTATGTTTCTCAGCTCGCGACTGCTTCTGCGCAGAGCTGATCAGACGAGCGGACGAGACGACGGTGAGTCAAACAAGGTTTATGTACAGCATATATACAGAGGCGTTACAATTTCGGCACTGGGGCCGACAGAGACTCGAAGAGCCGAGCTCTTCTCTCTAACACATAGTTCAGCCTTTCGCCTAAGACCGCTGACTCACACACATGTCGGCACTCCGACACGGGGACTCCTCTCCTAGGACCTCCGATCGCGACGCGCCGCAGGGCTTCTTTTATTTGCACCGGGTCCACCCAAAATGTCCAATCAGAAGCGCCGCTGGTCGTCCGGGCAGATTCCGCCAATGGGTGCGCCGCGCCATGCGTCAGACCACCTGACACGAGGACGCCGGCTCGCTGTCACGTGCGCAACTGACTCACTGCACGTGGGCCAGAGGAGCGCCGCGCGTGTTCACGCCGTCGAGGTGATCGCGCCAGGCAGACTGCGGGCTGGCCTTGACCCAGATTGCCTTTTTCAGAGGCACGGTCGTTTGACGAGGACTCGCTGGCATAACAGCACCCCCGCCGCCAGACAATGCACCGGAAAGACGAGCTGCTTCCACGGGGCTCGGATGTCAGGTGCGCTCGTTCGCCAGGTCCCTCCAGGTTCGCCTCCAGGGCCATGGGGAGACTACAGCTCCAGACTGTTCCGGGAACACATCCCATTTTGACGACGGATCCCAGCCCCACTGGCTTGTCGCCACAACTTGCTGACCAGCTTCACTCGTCTCTTCTGACCATCTTCGGTTTCAGCACTTGTCGATGGTTCTGCAACTTGCCAAGAACGGATCGACAACAGACAACACACGACACACGCAAGTGCCTTCGGTCACCCGACAGAACACCAGACAAAGTATAGTACAATATATACCTATCTACGTGTCTATCGGAATTTTGTTCCCTCTACATCAAGAGGCACATGTGGGACACAAGACTCTTAAAATGACAACTCATTTTTTTTTCCACTTACAACAACGTAACGAATTAGAATACCACATAAAGTTGGCCCCTTGAGATCACTCTGAACGAGAGCGCTCAGCCCAGGTCGTGATGAGGTCAAAATTTTGCCCCGAATCGCCAGCGAGAAACCGAAAGGTTGAGAAGTTACTAGCTGGAACGCACTGCTCAATGCACCTGCATTAGCGTTTACCTTTCCCTTTTTTTTTTTCTTTAGCGAACGTCAAAGTTGCGCTGTGGAGCAACATGCTCCACCTCAGTAACCGGCCACTTTTAGGCGACGATACCTATGCGGCACCAAGAGCGGCTCACACTTGCGACGTCGCCGTTTGGCAAAGGTTGTTGTTCATGGTCTTGCGTGTCATTGTGGAGCTTCTGGAGCACGTTTTTCCGGTTTTTGAGCACCTTCAAAGAAATGAAAAAAATGCTGAAGCTAAGGGAAAGGTAGATGGCTTGAAGACATAAAAATTTGCGAGCACAGGGTTACCGATTTTCTCACGTGTCTAAGTAATAATACCCACAAGGTGCTAATGGGACACAACAACAAAGGTTAGCAGAATAGTTACCGAAGTAAGTGGCTCAATACTGGTAACGTTACGTTAATATTTTGTCCATCCCACTGTTCTGCTCGTTTATTCACTGCTATTTCGCACAGGTGAAAGTGGGCTACATAGAGAGCATTTGACTTTCTTTACGACTTCATGAGTGCGCCCCGGCTTCAATTATTTTTTGTGTTACGTATTTCACACAACCACTGCTCTGTAAAGACACAGATTCGAATGCCAGCCATGGCGGCAGCATTTTCATGACACAAATTATGAAAAATGAAAGAACACCCAAGAAATTCAAAAGCATGTTTCTACGGTTAGGTGGTCAGAACTATTCGGAAGTCCGAAGCAGGCCTATTAGTTATGTCGTGGTTTCGTCTTACAAAACACCAAGGAGTTATTGCTATTGTGTTAAATTATATATGAAGTCCTTCTAATATTAGACAAGTGAACATATTCATGCTTATTGGAAGGTCTATTTTGCATAGGTTCTTATATTGAACGTAACGTACCCGAGTGATAAAAATACAATCGTCTTCTCCAGGGCGGCCATATATAGTAATCAACGTTTTTGTTTAATATTATTAAAACAATGAAATATGAGAGGTTGGTGCCATTTTGGTGGCACCGGCTACTACTTCTCACTTAGCAGACAAAATATGTTCTAAGAAAACTAATAAGAGCACAAAATACAATACAGTACAACATACGATGTGAAAGTATAGCCCAGCTGAACATAATATGACAGTTCAGATACGCCTAATAGGTTCGTATGTACGCAAGCGCTGCATAACAAGTTCAGATATGAAAGGTCGGTTCGCACTGAAACAAATGATTACTTATAAAATTAAACGTATTATCTCAATATTACACATTTCCTCTGTTATGTTGAGAAAGGCAACATAGTGTACAGTAGGTCCATATTTCCGTGTTATATTTCATTCTTCACGAGGCATCTTGAGGGGGACAAGTTCTCTTTTCTGAAGACCTGCAGTCGGCTTAGTATTTTCGTTACTGTGAAAGGCCTCCTATTTAAATGTATAGCAAGCTTGCTCGTAATACTTTCCGTTTTCGTAGTACTCGAGAAGCAGGTGACATACATCTTCGTCAGGGTGACCGCAGGAACACTCTGCACTAGACGCACGTTTTATCCTGTGTAAGAAGTGTCGCGTAAATGCTATATACCATGCCGTAGGTGATGGACTAACTTTCAAATCTTGTTTCTAAACAAGTAATCAGTAATAACTGGTAGCTGACGCCTGGGCGCAGCCTAGCGAACGAGCCATGCAGACCTATGTAACAGTAAGGCCACCAATTGAGCAAGTTGAGTGACAGCCGGTGCTAACAAGACAAGAAACAGAAGCAGGTACATCGCCTGTGTCACGCACTTTCTTCTGTCACTGCTCTTGTTTGCATCGGCCGTCGTGTCGATGTAGGTAGTTAGCGTTTTCTCACGGTTTTGACGATGGCTTCTATTTTTCGGAGTGTTTTCTCGAAGAGTCTTCCACTTGGGGTTAGACTGTAGATTGTGTCCAACCAGTTCCAGGGTTGAAATGTCCGTGAGCTTATGAGCACTGTCAACCTGCTCGTATAACAAAAAGAGATGCAATATGATGCATTTTAAAACTATAGCCTGCTCAACTTCGATATCGAACGTTTGATACGAATCAAGCTTATGTGCATACTTAGCCAAAAAAAAATTAACTGTCTTTAACTGCCTTATCGCAGCATCGAATGAGGCCCTTGAAAGAGGGCTGCACCCCCTAGCACTTCACAAGCAAAAAGCAGGAAGTAAGCTTTATTTTACTACTATACTACTACTACTACTACTACTACTGCGACTACTACTACACTACTACTACTACTACTACTACTACTACTATCTTTACTAATATACTACGAATACTACTACCACTACTACTACATCTATTACTACCACCATTTAGAATAAACGAGTGATCACTTTACAGAAAGACGCAATATCTGCTAATGCGAGAAAATAACTTTAAATAAATGGGCAAGATATAACGTCAGTTTACATTCACTATATACCATAAAACAGTGTTTCTTGCTTGCTCTTACAAATAATTCAGCATATGATTCTACAGGCGAATAGTACAAATTATCACGAAAATGCAAGATGTGTTTTAATGAGTCAGTGTACCCACATGTGAAAGTAGGTGCCGTAATTTCCGTGCTTCTCCCTTTGAACACCAAGCTCTTCACCCAAGGCAAAGCCTGAAAACAAGATGGGAAGCGGTTTGATATGACGTCTCACTAACATACTTTTGCATGGGTCCTAACTGTTCGCGTACGCAATACTAGTAAAATAATAAGAAAATAACTTTACTGAAGAAAAAAGATGAGTCGGCACATTTACAGTACGGGTTTTTTGGTGACAACACAGCGAGCTTTACTAAAACATAGAATAGTTAAAAGAATACTTTTACACTTTTCGCCGGCTTCATTTTTTTTTCTAAAATACTGCCTTCAAAAAGTTTGTCGTACCTACTGCATTTCTGGCTCTTAGAGTTATTTCCACCACTACCACAAATAATGACATGTGGTATGTTCTATGGTTTTGTAATGAATATAGCGAACAATGACTACAGAACAACCAAATAGCTAGATGTCAAATGTTGTTCACCGAAAGAACTTCATATGCATACTGTAAACATTTCATCGTTGAATGTATTTTTTTCTGGAAATAATCGTTTTCAGTGTTTATTTGTTAGAGCCAATCATTTATGATTTTTTTGTAATCCTGGCATATACTTCTTTATCTTTCGTATATTGAATTTATTTAAATTAGTTTTGTAATAGTTAGTTATTGCTTTGTGCATTTGTATTAATATTTATTTTCAGCTTCTAGCAATGCTGCTCCTTTTTCTCACTATCACGTAGACCTTGTAACGGACCACCAGCCCAGGGAAGCTTTTTGTTTCATAGCTTTTAGCCAATGGTATCCCCCAGAACCACAGTATTTCTGGAAATAAATCCAACTTGTATTGTAGTGCTTTCTACAGTTTATTATTCCTGCTACACTCAGCCGAAATAAGCGGAACATGACTTTTAGGTCAGGAATGTACCGCGCTATACGAGCAGATGATGTGCCAAATACGAAAGCCAGCAGAATTCGTTTCACACTACGACGAACAAAGCGTTTCCGTGTACTTCATTTATCCCTAATGAGCCCATATTTGTGCTGTACTCTTCAGAGTATCACTCACTTTCTCTTTAATCCGGACAACATGTGCGCGGAACTAATTTGTAATACCGAAAATGCAGAATTTTGCACTGTGATAGATTGAAACTGCTTTCCAAGGTGCACTGGTTGTGTTTACGAACTATTCTCTGAAGTCAGAAAAAATCTTCACATTCTGATCTCCACGTGAGCCAAGGTTCTTGATGGTGGCCAATTTGCGCCAAATCAGCCGAATGAAAAGTTTGTCTAGCAACAAAATTTTCAGGCTAGCTCTACGGCTAATTTCTGGCTACCTTCATCCTGCATTTCAGCAAGTTTGCCACATCTTTTTATTATCATTTGTCAATGTATTAGCAAGAAAGCCTAAAGAATAACCATTGTTTTCAAGCATATCTGAGGTCTTGGATGATCCGCTCTTTTCCTCCTCATATCACCCTATCAGTCTTGCACGTCAGTGTTGCAAGATGCTACCGGGCAAACATGCAAATACTAATCAAAAAGAAGAATAAAAGAGACGGTGTCCAAATGCGTTTTTATATTCTTGAAAATGTATCTATCTCAAGTAAAAAAGTCGTAACTCAAATAGAAATTGGAGCTATAGAAATCACCTAACTATCTTGTACCGCGGAAGTATGCGCAGTTATGAACGAAAGCACATAGCTACATTTTAGCGCTGTTTTCAGGGTATTATCCATTCTGTTGAAGACACGCTTGCCAGTAATTGATTAACGTTATTTGTTGATTCCCTCAATTTTGCTTAACTTCAACGAAGTCTACGACAAACACGCAATTATTGAACAACAAACGAGCATTGTGGAACATGATGATCAGTAAAGGAACTATACTTGCTGGCAAAACGCAAATAAGCCCCCTGCCCTCAAAATATATATATATATATATATATATATATATATATATATATATATATATATATATATATATATATATATATATATATATATATATATATATATATATATATATATATATATATATGTATATATATATATAACGCCTTGAAAAACCGTACAAGTGACTCGGCGGAAACAGAAGCCCAAGTCCCCTTATTATAACAGGAACTGGTTTCTCGGGTGCACATCGACGGACTCCAACAAGTGGTGTGAGTGTAAAGACAAAGTCACAAGGCTGCGCGCTGGTAACCATATGCGTGGGTATACTTGAGGTTGCGCACAATATTCTAATACTGAAGCAGAGCATGTGTTCTCGTGTGAACTTGATAGAAGGAGATATATTCAACAAAATAAACCTGGACTGTTTATCTTCCACCATGTTTGGCTCGTTGAAGCTAGAGGTCTATATGAATTTTGGTCTATGGCATCGAGGAAAACAGCTTCAACGTTTATTGATTGCACTGAAGTCTTTGCCCAAAGTTAGTTATACAATACCTCAACTGCAGGTAAACTGCATGTACATGTACTGAACATATAACAAATTACTTATTTATTGGCAAACTACCTGCGGCCCGAAGAATACGCAAGAGGGAAAATTTTGGGCTCTTTATTTTACGTTCCAGCTTCGGCATAATCGTGCTTATAGGTTCAATAATAGAAAGCCAGTTGGAAATAGTTTGTTCATTCTAAGTGGTACTTTTGGCACCTAAATAAATAGCATAGCTACTTTGCCTGCTTACAGCTTGACCTTTGGTTGCTTTTTAAATCTATCCAACGATAACCCTGGCTCTAACATGCAAGATTCTTGACAATTTCAAGTAAGAACGTGTAGTTCGCTCAAAACTGCTGCAAGCTAACTTTAAGCGTCTCGCCATGGAGGCCTCCTTTTCATGACATAATTCAAAGCGAAAAAAATTTATTATCTTCAGCTTGGGCTGCCTTCATCCTAGTTGATCAATAGTTGAAACATTGCAGACGAGATAAACTTATGACAGAGCAGACAAGAGCATTTTAGGTTAAATAAATGTAAATATTTAAATGACTAGCTAACTAATAAGTATATAATTATTTACTGTATTTTATTTGAAGACTTTACAGGGGGTATGAAAGCCGACGCCGGTTTAAATAGGCACGAACATTATATAGGCAGTTATGTGCCCGTTTTAAAGTAAGTGTCAGCTCTTTGTTCAAGATTTAGACCTGTAAGTGTCCTGAGATTAGCGTTTCTTTTCAATGGTGTTCGTGGTGACCCTGTTCTTATGGATACGGTTTTGCACTTCACTGTTAAGTACGCGGGTTTAGCGATGGGTACTACATTAAAACCATGCTCTAGTGCGCCTGTCTGTTACAAAATCTAGCCCCCATGTTTGTAAAATACGCCAGCAGCTAGCAGAATGCGTATACTAACGTCCGATAATGTCCAGTGCGCACTTCTGCACGTTCTCGAGACACACGATGGGCTCTCCGGGTGACTCCTTGAGCAGCTGATCTATTCTGGCCACCAGGCACTCGGCGTTGTCACGCATGGAGCTCAGATAGCCGTCCATCGCGCTCGTGTGGAAGGCTTGCATGAAGATCCGCCGCTTAGTCTTCCAGGCGTCTCCGCCACTGCACCGGATGAGCCAACACTGAGTGGGTTAGACACTGTAGAGATACAGCGAAGAGATTGCCGCTCTAAACTGTAGGAAAAAGAAATGGAGGACGCGTTTTCTGAAGGGTACTTCGTTATGAGCCCATTTGTTTCACCTTCCTTTGTTGTGTCTATTTGTCTGCTATCTATCTATCTATCTATCTATCTATCTATCTATCTATCTATCTATCTATCTATCTATCTATCTATCTATCTATCTATCTATCTATCTATCTATCTATCTATCTATCTATCTATCTATCTATCTATCTATCTATCTATCTATCTATCTATCTATCTATCTATCTATCTATCTATGTGAAATTAACGCACTGCTTTTAACGCAGTGAAACCACATCTTGCTTCGAAAGCTTTACGCCTATGTCACTCATCTTGCAGTTGAAATATCCTGTCGATGATGCTGTCAGAGTGACGATCGCTCCCCTTTCGTGATAACGCACCTCGTTCATTTTAGAAAGGCGTTCTCTTGCGTCATGATTGGTGAATATTTTTAAAAGGTATGCACAGCGCGATATAAGGAATACTCATACCTGACGCTGGGGCAATGGCTCGAAAAAAAAATCACTCATTTGCAACCCAAAATAAGAAGTGTTTGGTGAACGATAAGGTTGTTAAACGTGAAGATATATGAACTTTTTACACGCAGAAAAAAACTAATAACCGTGCAAAGTAAAAACGTGCGAATACTGTTTCACGTGTCAATTTCATTATTGCGATGAAGTAGGTTCATATTCCTGTTATTGCGTATCTATAAATTCTGAAGACGCCGACCTTATACGACTCGAATAGTAGGGAAATTTTCATCTTTAGTTTACGTGGACAAGAACACCATCAACACGCCCATTTTAAATTGATGGTCACCACAGACGTGAAAAGTTGCCCGTAATTCTACACTGAAAGGTATATGCTTCCTGTTGAAAATAAAGAAGTGGGGCATGGGCTTGAGGGGACGCGTGGTGGACGTAGAGAAAGAGAAGAAGGAATTAAGAATGCAGAGCTAGCCCTGATCGAGTAAACGTCATATTGCTTCCTACAATATCGTTGCAAGTCTGATGAGTTGCTTTTGGATTTGTATGCGTTACTACGCAGCAGTTCCGACTTCCGTGTGAATGTTAGAAAAGCTTGTTTCACTTACATCATGAGAAGACTTCTGTGTCCAAGCCATGGTTTGAGAAACCTGTAAAGGACAGGTTTGTCCGATTTTACTTTACCCATGAGGAGCGTCTGTAAAATACACAATACATTTCATGCATTCATAAAGTGAATATCAGGAGTTTTGACTCGTGCATCGGCTGTACAAATAAAGCACCTTTAAATAATTAAGCTAATAATATAGCTGTGTGCCTAAAGAAGAGCTATACTCAATGACAACTTTCTGCGGCAGCACAGCTAAAACTACGATGCCCAAGCACGCCATTTTTTACTACGAATCTGCACGTAGTCCACACACACTAACTTTTTACAATTCGTAGCATAATTGAAAATATAAAAACAAAAGATGTAAATAATATGGTAAAGATTGTTCGCTTTAATATTAGAAATCATCACCAATGTATGTTTTTCGTTTTTTACTGTTTCTAGGTTTCTGATTTTCTGGTGCAATTTCACTTTTCCCTACCCCGGTAAACAATGATGGCGTCCCTAGGTTGTTGCAAGTTCACATCGAAGCTTGCGCGCGAGCATCAATGCGTGTTCATTAGGTGACCTGTATTCATCGAGCAGGGAGAAACGAAGACAGCGGTGCGTCATGAAATGCTTTGTGTCCCGCACATGCAATCAACGAGAAGTTGTGTGCCAGAAAGTGGGACTCTAATCGCTATAGCTGCCTTGAAAGTGACACCGGCGACTTGCCAGTCTTCCGCAACACCAGCCGTTTGGAAGAAAAAGTAAGATTGGAAACTGTACGTAAAACCGATGACCATCTTTCTAAATTGCGTTGCATACGTGGTCGCTGTTTCAGCTGCCTAATATTGTTAATACGATAACGCTGAATATAGCCTACCGTAACACCGCTTCCGTCGTCGTCTATGGAGGGACTCGTTTCTTGCGCTTTGCCTGGGTAACAGACGCGTTCATGTATATTACCCTGTTGACTTTGCGAAACCAGCGTTCTTCACTGAGTAAAGATTCCGATTCACACACTTGAATATGCGAACGTCAGACGCCTGCTCATGACCGATCAGTGCCAAGATTTATGCTTCCCATCGTTGCCTTCCCGTCCCCTAAAGGAATAAGGTGAGCGGCTCCAGAAAGTTCTTGCGTCTCTAAAAGAAGGAGAACAATGATGCCGACCAAGTATGCACTGAAATTTAGGAAATGATTTTTTCGCTTTGAGTTTTTCCAATCACTCGGTACTTTATTTATTAAATCTTAGTATTTCAAATTTTTGTGTTTTTTCCCATAAAAAATTAACATAGTATACATTTTCCTTCGAAATAAATGTAAGATTTAACGCATGGTGGCCGCGTGAAGAATATGTCTTTGCTGTCCTTGTGAAGCCGAAACCGAAATCACATGAAAACCGACTACTTGGCGTAGTAACACATGTGCACAAGCTCCGCCTACGTAGCTTTGGCTGTGCTGCTACAAAAAGTTGTCGCCGTGCATAGGTTGTCATTTAATACCACTGATGTTCCTGCTGTGCGGAGATCTCAACTGTCACGTGGGACTTTAAAAAGAAAAGAAAAACACTTCGTGGGCTCTCCTTTTTTTTTTTTACAAACTGATGGCAGGCCTCTCATGACTCATACGTCATTTTCATTATTGCCAAAGAACGAATCATGCTTTTCACATGTAGCACATGATAGTGCGAGGTAAATTATGCATAAGTTCTTATATTTCATGTAACTGATGCATTTTTCTTGCAAGCTCCCTGTTGTAACTTTAAAAGGTTATGATTAGCAGAAGTGAAGTGACCCACGTGTTCTCCTCACTTAACTTGCCTGCTTGACACGGGGCTTATGTGTGTGGCTTCTTTAGGCACTTTGTCTTTCTGTTCCGATGTGGGAGCGGCCCGCAAAGTGTTAAAGCACGTTCAAAAAGACCTAATAAAATTCATTGATCTATCTATCCGTCCCCCAGCTGCACTCGTCTTTGAGATAGTAGAGCATAAAATGAAATGTGGGATTAAAAAAAATATTCAATGATTTAAAGCACAACGTACTCCACTAAAGGAAAGCCTCAAGCTGTCCCAATAACATCAGTTGTTTAGAAAGAGCGGTTAGCGATCTTAATTGGTACTCAACTATGGGAAAGCATAAAGCCGTCCCGTGGACCTCACACTTGATGAGACCATGTTGAAACATTACGCAGTGACTGTCACACCATATGGCCACGCTGCGACCTCGCAGTGTTAAGGGAGTCAACTGAAGTTGGCAGTGTGTTTAGATATGCGTTGAATAATTTTGAGTACTTTGTTCTCTACTATGGGAGAGCTGAGAGCCATCCCGTGGGCCTCGCACTTGATGAGGGCCCTGACAGAACCGCGAAAAACTGAACACGACACAACGGTGTTAATACATGCGTCTGCTTAAAAAGACGCTTCGTTGAAGTCATTCTAAAAAGTCTCCGTGCTTGGTATAGTTACATTGGAAATGTTGGCTACTTGTCCAAAAAGATTTACTATAACCCACGTAATTAAAAAGTACTGCATAAAACTGATTAACCGTCAAGTTCATCCTTTATACAAACGACGAGGTAAACAATCTGTTTTCCTTGATATCATTTTAATGTTTGCTGTGCATTTCTTGGAAAGTTACTTTCAACCGAGGGGTGAACTTGTAGCAATAGCGTATGATTAATTACTCTTAAATTCACGCAGAACGTACCTCAGAAGTTGTCTAAGTGGTATGTAAGCGTTCAGTATCATATTAGTAGTAGTAGAAACTTCATTGTACTAAAGTGAATTAGGGCAAAGGTGGGTGGGTCTCCTAGTCCAGGGCCCCACTGGCCTTTGCGGCTCGCTGGTCCTGATCGAACAGAGCAACATGGCTTTCTCGATCTTTGCTGGCAAGCTAGATCTCCCACCACCTCTGCAATGGGTTTCTCCCTAACTGAGGGCGAATTAATTTTGTGTGGTCCAAGTCTACACGTCCACGTTATGTGGGTGAGAGATGGCCGTTCTTAACAACACACACATGTGCCCAGGTTCGGCGTTTTTTGGATTTCGTTGAGGATTGATAGATTGGGGTACGTGCCAGTTTGCAACCAGCGCCAGTCCCTAGCCTGCCCGATATCAAGTGTAGGGCGTAGTGGGCTTAATTTTCCCCTTTCTTTTCTTTTTATCTCCAGCATTTAGCACGGAGTGACCAGAGGTTCTTTGAGAGTTGCTATTGTTACTCGGATACTAGTTACGCGAGATATGCGGTCTACCCTCCCATTACCCTCTAGCACAGCGTGCACTGGACACTAAAGAACGGCCGGATGTTGTTCAATGCGTGTTCCTAGGGTTTTAGAAGTAATTTCCGATGCAGCTTCGGTGAGGTATTGACGGGATGCGGACTGCGAGTCCGAGATAACTAGGGAGCCCTGGATCTTGTAATCGGCATCTAGTATGGTCAATGCCACAGCGGTCAACTCTTTCGTGCTAGCTGAAGCAGTTCAAACTTCTGGTTGCAGCTTTCCTGAAACGTTGCCTTGTTTTCTGGAGCGGCAAGGTGAATTTGTTCTCTTCACAGAGCTCGTCAGCACCTGTAGCAGGCACACGACCGCCCCATAGAAACACGATTTCGACATTGAAGTTTTGCATTGTACAAAATTGCCCTCACGAGTACCATCCTCTAAGTCAGCTTTACGTCTTCTTCAAAAGATGCCCTTTTGATAAGTAAGCATTTTTTGGCTGACTCATCGGGAAAACTTGTATCCATCCGGCTATCCGTACGTCTGTCTCTCAATACCTCTGTCACGTAAGGTGGTCAGTGTTACAGAGAATTCAATGGATAAAATTAAAATTGCAGGACCCTTTATGCATGCACCAAAGACGACTGTAATGCGAAAACCATCATTCTATATTTCTTCCCAGTCGACGCATTGACCCGGCCCTACGACCCTCTCAAGGCCTTCTGCACCTAACGAGATTTTCACTGCTTCCGGGACCGGCTCACCTTTCGCCATTAATGTTGGGGTTTGGTGTTCTAAAAGCATGACATGATTGAGGGACGCTGTAGTGGAGGACTCCGCTACATGTGACTTCCTGCAGTTCTTTCACGTGCACTCGTATCTAAGCAGCCCCGTATGCCGAAACGCTGCTTGACTTGAACTTGACTTCAGTCCGTTCAGTGGCGACAGCTACAAACACGCACATACACGAACCCTGTCATCATGCACCACATATATCCTGACGTCTATAGTTCTAATCTATGCCAGTACTGTACCACCAGAGCCACTCTCGATCATATACTATGGGAATGTCCAGCATTAGTCAGAAACTCTGGGATCGCGGCCTCCAATGAAGACCTTCGGGCGCGTTGGCGGACTGCGCTGCTCAGTTCGGGCCTGGACAAACAACTTTGGGCGATCCAGCAGGCCAAGGAAGCTGCCGGGAGACATGGTCTCTCCGTTGGCCCCTAGGTGGGAGCCCATCCCAGCAATCTGCCGGAAATTAATAAAGTCTATCTCTCTCTTGGACTTGACTTGCAACCGATTTCGATGCAGCACAAACGCGTTGTCTTTAGGCCGTGCCAGGGCAGCACAAACGCACAGATGCGTATCAAACAAGCTGCATTGAAGGCGGTTTCAAGTCAAGTTCAAGTCAAGGAGCGTTTCTGAACACGGGGCCTCAATCTAAATAATTTTAACCTACATCAAAAATCCAGCCGCCACGGGCGGCATTCTATTTCGCAAAGTGATTGATATTTGGGGTTTAGCGTCCCAAAACCACTGTATTTATATAAGAGACGCCGTAGTGAAGGGCACTGGTAATTTCGACCACCAGGGGTTCTTTAACGTGCACTAAAATCTCAGCACACGGGCCTACAGCATTTTCGCCTTTATCAAAAATGCAGCTGCCGCAGCCGGGATTCGATTCCGCGGCCTACGGGTCAACAGCCGAGTACCTTAGGCACTAGATCACCTCGGCAGGGCGATCCCACAACCTGCGGGTTAGTGGTCGCACACCGTAAGCACACAACCATGGCACCTTTGACCAAGCTACGATGTCAAGTGATGCAGTCATCATAGTATATACGTCACGATGACCTTATGATGATGACGCACATTATGGCGAT